TCTCTCTCTCTTTCCTCTCTCTCTCTCTCCCTCTCCCGCTCGTCTCTTCCTCTCCATCTCTCTCTCCTCGCTCCGTCGTTCTTCTCTCTCTCTGCTCTCTCTCTCTGCTCTGCACCTCTCTGCATTGCCCTCTCTCTGTCTCTCTCTCTCTCCTCTTCCTATCTCCCTCTCTCTGTCTCTCTGTCCTCTTCTTCTCTCCTCCTCGACCCTCTTCTCTCTTCCTCTTCTTCGTCTCTCTGTATCTCCCGCATCTTCCGTCTCTCTCTCTCCTCCTCCTCTCTTCTCTCCAACTCTCTTCCCCTCCCCCTCTCTCTCGTCCTCCCCCCTCCCCTCTCTCCCCCTCCTCCCCCTCGCTCTCTCAGCCTCTCTCCGCTGTCTTTCATCTTCATCTCATTCTCTCTTCTCGTCTCTTTCCTCTCTCTCCTTCTCTCCCGTTCCGCTTCTTCCTTTCTCGCCCGCTCGGCTGTCTCTCTCTCGTCTTCGCTCTCCATCATCTCTCTCGCTCTCTCTCTCCTCTCCTCAGCTCTTCCCTCTCACTTCACCGCTGCAGGCTGGTCCTCCTGTCTCCCGCTCTCTTCTGTCTCTCGTTCTGCGTCTGTCTCTTCTCTTCTCTCTCCTCTCCTCTCTCTCTCTCCTCTTTCTCGTCTCTCGTCGTCTCGACTCATCCTCTCCCCCTCGCTCCTCTTCTCGGTCTCTTCTCTCCCTCCTCTCGCTGTCTCTCTCTCCCTCTCTCGTCTCTCTCTTTTCTTCTCTTTCTTTCGCTCTCTCAGTTCTCTCTCCTCTCTCCCTCTCCGGTCTCTGCTCTCTCTCCTCACCGCACATCCTCTTCTCTCTCTCGAGTCTCTCATCTCTCATTCTCCCCGATCTCCTCCTGTCGTTAGGCTGTCTTCTTCTCGCTGTCTCTCCTCTTCTCTCCTCGCTGTCTCTGCTGTGTCGTCTCTCGTCGTCAGTCCTCCATCTCTCTCTTTGTAAAAAATATCGTCCTAGCTAATGCGGTTAGCGTTGTGGTGGCACTCTTTGGACGCTGCGGTGAGTGTAGCCGTCGCAGAGTGGTGTGCATAGTCTCGTAGAAGGCTACGGAGGTGGGTTAGGAACCGCGCTCTTCCCTATACCTCCGTCAGTGAGGCGATTTCTGAGCCTGACTAACACACATGGCCCAAGGCAGACAGGTGCAGCGGGCCAAGAGGTGTGTGACGAATAAGGGCACGCGATTCTAAAGGCGCTATCTGTGCGAGCATCTACGGGTAGCTCGCTCGCTGCGGAGATAAGTGCAGTGGGGATGGGCTAATGCGTCGGTGGGGGGTCGCGTGATGTCACTGCGAGCGCGTAGTGCAATAAGATGGGCTGCGGCGCAGCGTCGCGGGCCAGTCAATAGTAGTGGAAAGCGGAGCATGCAGGTGATGTGCGCCCTGGGAACACTCTCCGGTGCTGTTGTGAAGCACGTGACGCCGTGGTTTTGCGTGTCATTGAACGAACAGTAGGGTTGTCGGCGCAGTGTATCTGACTGCACACCTGGAGCAGCGTAGGAAGAAAAAGGTAGGATAACTGTTACCAGGCTAAGAGAGGGTCATGTGCTGGGTTAGCTCTAGAACTATAGCCCTTCGCTCTTCTACATGCAGGCCTGTGGCAGAGCGAAGGACAATAGTTCTAGAGCTAGTGCTGTGTGAATTCATAGGTGATGCGTGATTTCTCTATCGACAACGTTTCAGGTTTGGCAATCGCGTGAAAGATATTACTTGGGCATCGCTTTTTGGCCTGACGGTGCGGGTAGTGATTGTCGTTACCACTGTCTTTTCAGCCTGTTCTGCTAGCATCTATGACCAATACGACATACACATATATGGCTCTCCTATGACACTATTGTCATAGGTAAGATTCTTCCTATGCCAAATATTGTTGCCTATGCTGTTGCTGCGCAATGCATAGGAGTTTAGAAGAGCGGTATTATAACGCAAGCATGAATTTCAGCTGCTAAGCGAGAACGACAGTTGACTCGCCAAATATGTTGTCATAAGTGTCAAGAGAAAGCAGTCATATGCGTATGTCGTATTTGTGTAGATATAGATATAGATATAAATTGTATATAGATGCAAGCAGAACATGTTGGTCTTTCATAATAATAATAATATAATAATAATAATAATATAAGACATTTCAGATAGAGACAAATGCGTTAGCAAGATTTGATTTTCTATAGTTTTATAAAGTTATCTTAGAAAATGCTCCTGGTCGGATGTCGAGGAAGGTATGCCAGCAGGCGTTGGCTATAGAAATGCAGAAGGCGTAACAGTTTAGAGTTGAACACGTTTTCATTCATTCAAAGCCTCCTCCCATGGTTTGATGATAATTTATGCCCGTATAATTGATTGACAGTTACTGTTTACAGTGGCAATAGAGTGATGCGATTTCACAAGCAATTAATTTATGTATCGGTGGGGGATGAGTGGCATGTAAATCTGTGACCGTGTAAATAAATATTTGTGTAATACAAGGCGTTTATTGTGGTGGTAGCTGGGTGAGTGGGATTGGTGGGATGGTGGGTGATCCGCTGCTGTGGATTGCGCTTGTAAAAATTTAATGGGATCGAAAATGTATCATTTAATATGATTTATTATATTAGTATGTATGCTATTATACTATTATACTATTATATATGCTATTATAAATTTATGTTGTTAGATTTCTTGGATGAGTTTATGAGTTTAGATACTGTAAATCTGGTATTATAGTGAGTAATATCAATACTAGTATGATTTTTATCAATATATTTTATGTCTATCATAAATACAATTTGCTTGCCATTTATTGTTATTAGCGTAATCTAACTCGTTTCCATTTGATTTCTGAACCATGAAATTGTAGATAATCGATGTCACATTAGTAATTCAAATGTATTGATTCTTTCGAGCTCACTGCCTGTTCAACGTATTCGCTTCTAATCTAAGCTCGATCTGTTTTTTTAAAACCCCGTCTGGTAACAACAGTCGTACGACATTTTGCATGTGGTTATGATTCATTTCCACGCATCCACGCCCGAAACTCCGCTGTTTTCTCACCCGTGCAAGTTACCCGAATGGACTTCCTTGTCTGCAGGGCAGGTAGCAGCTGATGATGGCAACATTTGTGCGTGTGTTGGGAGTGCGACTCTCGCGTTTGTACGTGGGGGAGGGGTGCGCGTCGGTGTGTGTACGTGTGTATGGGGGTGCGACTGCGTGCATGACAGAGAGGAAGGTAGAGGTGATACGGGTCACTGCAGAGTCCTGGGACAGCGGCCGTCGCGACGTAGAATGTGTGTAAGCGGTGACAGCTCCGTGATGGAGTGGTGCGCTACGCTCTTACCGCAACGCGCGCGCGCACGCATGATTATTCTCTTCCTGCCCCCTCTTTCTGCCTCTCTATCGCGCGCAGTTTCTACACAGTCACACAGTCTCTCTTTCTCTTTCTCTCTCTCTCTCTCTCTCTCTCTCTCTCTCTCTCTCTCTCTTTCTCTCTCTCTCTCTCTCTCTCTCTCTCTCTCTCTCTCTCTCTCTTATACACCCAATCTCATAGTATCGCTTTCACAGTTTTTTAGTCCCCACAGGGCGACTGTTTCCCTATCTTTTGAAGGTGATTTCGTTGCTGGGTTAATGCCCTACACTGGATAAATGAGATGCTGAATTTTTAAGAACACTGGGCATACCGTGAATTGATGCTAAAGAGTCAAGCAAAGCTAATTCATCTGTAACTAAGTTAACGGGTTTAGAGATCAATGGTCGTGATGTTTATGTCCCTCAGATTCTACGGTCATGTGTGTTTGGTAACGACTTTCCGTCTGAACAAAATATGCTGTCGTTAGAGGTGATTTCTTGTGGACAGGTCCTGGGCAGAGGGGGAATTTGCATTTTATGTGCATTTACACTGGAACTGGTCAGGTGAACAACCGCACAGAGGAGGTGCCACCTGTGTTGAGGTGCGACCTCTCTTTCCAACGATCCTAAATGTCAACAGTTCACTACGTGGCTTTGTCACCATTACCTGGCGATATACGTAGCGCAGTGTACACAAACTATTCGCTCGGGTTTGTTAAATGATGTGCCTCTAAGGTGATGGCAAGGGATTGGTCAGGAATGCTAGGCGCTGGCCCTTGACGAGAGCGTAAAGGTAGTGCTTAATGCGCGAGTTTGCATTGTCACCTTAGAAATAAGAAAGATCAATCCGTGTTTGACTTCTAGGACGACGAAACCTACTGTTTAGAGAGTGGGGCGCTTTTCGATTCTCAATACGCATGTGTGTGTGTGCGTTATAAGAAGCCACGTAGGTCACATTCGGTGACCTGTATTATGTAAGCAGGCTGTTGGCCATCTTAAAACGCTGTCGATATTCTTGTTTCGCCATCGTTGACTATTCTGAGAGTTGACAGGTGTTATCGAGAAGGGTCTTGAAGGGGAAAAGAATGAGTAAGGCAATACAGGAACCAATCTGAGTGGCCAGTGTTATTATCTTCCACAGCTTGCGATTGGTTCCTGCCGAGTGCATGGGTTATTATCGACACATCGGCTTTGCCATTAGTGTCAACCCGGTGAAAGTGGCCGTGAAATTTGGTGACAGATTCCGTGTCACCGTGTTCTTGCTTGTATGTCAGTGACACGGTGGAGCACCTGGCGGCCTGTCACCGGGCTTTATCATTCTTTCAAATGGTCTGTGATATGTCGGCATATGATTTGGTGAATAGCTGATTTTGTCTTGACTGTCGGCTGCTGGCTGCTGAATTTGCCAGTCTGCTAGGCACATGCACTTGGGAGGCGATATTTTTTGCTTTAGCGTTGATCTTTATAGCGTTTGTGGCTTAGAACGTGGAAGATTGCAATAGTGTTCATTGTTGAGTTTGTTAAACGTGTTAGCGGAAACCTAATGCACGGACATCCGTATTTTTTATAGCAGTTTAAAGGATATCTGTACTATTCATAGAGGCTTGATAACTTGACGTTAGCAGTGACTCATTTTATGCGCCTCTCTTACAGGTCTATTACAAAGCAATAAAGGACATAGAAGCTGGCGAAGAGATGTTGCTGTACGAGAGAGATGCTGTCTACCCAGGGAGTGAGCTGGAGAACCTACCCGTAGATGAAGGTAGGGGCATCATATGATTATTTTTTCTTCTTTGTAAACACATTGACAGCTTGTAGAATTCAACCTAATTCGCGCTTAAACCAATTGGCATTATTAGACATTTTTATGGGGTTGCGTGCAGCCTTTGTGCGAAAATACCCCCTAACAAGAACTACAGAGATTCCTTCTTTTTAAATTAAACGCTGTCCTGATTAGCACTTCAAAGATGAAGGGGTACACATCCGATACGAATGTGGCCCGCACGGTCAGCATATATCATACGGCTCGTCGAGAGGTGTAAGTTTTTTTGGGTTAATCTTTTCAACTGATGGCTGGCGGAGGCTGGTGGAGACTCCTGAGGCACTGGTGGAGGCTGGTAGGGGCAGTAGCTAGGCTCCTTGCCTATCCTACCGTATGGTGATCGTGATCTGGAACAGCTAGTATTTTAAATCATCTTAAATCCCGAGTGCGAAAGAGATGCCTTTGAAGATATGCCGCATTTAAAGAGACTACGGATCTGCTATTATTAGTTAACACTATTCGTTTGGGCACTCGTGTCCCTGTCGCCCTGATAGATGCCCACAACAACGTGCGCAGGCAGTATATGTGGGTATGCAATAATCTATTGTATGCTAGCCAGCGTAGTTATGTTTATAGTCCTGTTTTAACAACGTGTACGGTTGAGGGACACGATATAATGACATGAATAATGGCCCAGATAAAGGACGAAATAGTGCCTGAGGTGGTGAGCAAGATAAAACGTATGCGTTTCAGTTCTCCAGGGCTGTTATCGCAGCGAGCTTACATTGTCGGTGCTCAGATTTGGAGAAAAAACATATTCTACCAACATTTCCATGAATTTGCGTTACAATGCAATTATCGAACAATATTGCTGTCATGCTCCAGAAGAACAGTTTCCGAAGCACCTATAACTTGCCCAGGTGAAGGAACTCGGGTGACGCTCCGTTAAATGCGTACATGAACTGACCACGGGGACATTAGGCGACAACTGCTCGGCGGCGAATTCTAGTAACGCGACATCTGTCGCGTGATTTGCATTTAGAACACCTGCGACCGTGACTTATGGCTTTTTGTTATAGCGACCGCGATCTAAGCACCGCTCGCAGTCACTATTATAGACATTGTTTTTTTTTATCTTGCAGACGACAATACGTACCAGTGCGCATGTGGCGAGATTTTCTGCTCAAAGGTGGCCCTGCGCAAGCATGAAGCGTATGACTGCGACAACAATGATGCCATCTACCACAGCAGAAGAGAGTCGCACCCCAGTCAGATGGATAGTGGTGATTGCCAGCCCGAGTTCCAGTGCATGGACTGTGAGGTGGATTTTCCTGATGAGGAAAGGTAAGAAGGCATATATGATTCTATAATTCATACTTGACCTGTATACGTTTAAGCACGAGTGTTGCATGTCGCGCATTTGCTTTATTTCTGGCGACGACAACCGATATCATTCGAACAGCAATGAAATTCCGCAGGTGAAATAGTTGCTGTGAAGCACTACGTATTAGTATCTATCAGTGTGTTACTGTTTGGTGCAGGTATGAGGAACACATGAAAGCCCACAGTAGCGAGCGCGAGTACGAGTGCGACATATGCTCACGGTCCTTCAACTGGAAGTCAAACTTCATCCGTCACCAGGGGTCACACATGGAGTCTCAAGGTTTCGCCTGCGAGAACTGTGACAAGGCAGGTTGCCTTTCCTGTGATTCTACTTCCGATTCGATGGTACAGTTATTGTTGACCAGTAGCTTGTCGAAAGATTCGGTAACATCGAATAACGTCAAGTTTAACTGGTTACTTAATCGAACCCTTGTTCAAATTCATCTATTCTAGACAATTAATTAATAAATGCTATATGTCATTCCAATATACATATATATATAGTTCTAGAAATAAATATATACGTGGATTTCATAGCTATGGGGTCTTGCGTTTGATGTACTTGGCCATATACAACATAATAAACATGTTTGCATTGCTTGTCATTCCTTGAAATACCTTCAAATATCTAGAAATTCACAGAAATTTTAATGGTTGCAATATTTATCTACTCTTGTAGGTATTCACTGACGCTAGTAATCTGCAGAGGCACATCCGCACGCAGCATGTGGGAGCGCGCTCGCATACATGTCTGGAATGTGGCAAGGCGTTTGCCACGTCCAGTGGACTGAAGCAACACACTCACATACACAGCAGCGTGAAACCTTTCCAGTGTGAGGTATGTGACTCTGCAGGCTTCTACTCTTGTCAGACCTGATTGCGTGCATTCAGTTAGTCATCCTGCTCTGAAAAACGTCCCTACATGTTAGCGAGGTCTCCTTCCTCATTTTGGGACAAATGACCTGCAGTTCAAAACTGTATTAACTGAAGATGCATGTTAGCAGGGAGCTTGATTATTAGGCCTTCCAATTTATTGGCATTTGAAATGCTTACGTTGACTAGCTGGCAGCGATCATTAACAGTAACGCTTGCAACATGCTTACTAAATTTTTTCTTGTTTTGTCTTTTAGGTGTGTCTGAAGGCATACACACAGTTCTCCAATCTCTGTCGTCACAAGCGCATGCATGCTGACTGCCGCACCCGCATCAAGTGCAAAGACTGCGGCCAGTCCTTCTCCACGGTGACGTCGCTTAGCAAGCACAAGCGCTTCTGTGAGGGGGCGCTGCGCCATGGACTTCCGCCATACTTCCCCGGCGTTCCATCGTCTGAGAAGTCTCCGATTGGTGGGCCACCCTCTACATCACATCCCTACCCTAATCTTTATGGGATCCGTCCAAACTTTCCCCTGTTCCCAATGGGTTATCCGTTCATGCCACCTCACATGCTACATTTCCCATCACCGTTGGCCTCACCACCGCAGTTTATCAAGCCAGCAACGTCTACCCTTAGCCCAGGAAGCGAGGATGAGCGAAGCAGTCAGCAACTGAAGGTCATGAAACAGGAGCGGCAAGGAAGCGATGGATCTGACGTCAGCGAGCTGTCATATCTGAGCTCTCCAGGTGGCAGCAGTGTAGTCACCAGCGAGGGATCTGATGGCGATAGCGAGATTGAGCCGCGGGAAAGGAGGGTCGACGACATGATGCCCGCACCGCTGCTAACGCAGGCCCTGCTACAGAAACGATCTGCCTGGGCGAGCATTACATCCACGCCTCATTCTGGCAATGGTCGCTTGTCACCGCACAGGAGAGACGGGGGCAGCCCACCGGAATCTGAGGAATCTCCCCTTGATCTGAGTGTGAAGAAGCCGTCCTTCTCTCAGGAGCAACACAAGACGCACATCTTTGGGAGCAAGCATTTGAACGTAGAGGAGGCACTCCCTGTGAAGCCGGTCGCTCCTCCTCCGCAGCCTCCGGCAGCTCGCTCATCGGTCGAACAGTTTCTGAGGCCGGAGAGCAGCCAGACGGTCGCACCCAGCATGTCCATTCCCAGTCTGTCCCCTGGTGGTCTGGCTGGACTTCAGTTCCCGGGCAGGTTCCCGTTTGCACCGCGGTTCCCTTTTCCCAACCCGGCACTGATGAACATCAACAACATCAACTTGGAGATGCTGCGCAAACAGTTTGAGATTAACAGACCACCGATGATGTCAGATGCGATGCGTTTTCCTGAAAGGCCCATGCAGTTTCCGCCCTATGCCATAAATGGCGCTAAGCAGAAGGAGCGTTACGCCTGCAAGTATTGCGGCAAGATTTTCCCGCGGTCAGCTAACCTCACTCGTCACCTGCGCACTCACACGGGGGAGCAGCCCTACAAGTGCAAGTACTGCGAGCGATCGTTCAGCATCTCCTCCAATCTACAGCGCCACGTCAGGAACATCCACAACAAGGAGAAGCCGTTCAAGTGTCCGCTGTGTGATCGCTGCTTTGGCCAGCAGACGAATCTTGACCGGCATCTGAAGAAGCACGAGACGGAGGGTTCGGATTTCGCAGGCACCTCGCCCGACTCAAACCTCGACGAGAAAGACGAGAGCTATTTCACGGAAATTCGCAACTTCATCGGCAAGGTGACGGAGAAGGACCAGGAGGCACACAGTAATCTCGACACAAACTTCTCACTCACTGACCAGATCGAGAAGAAAGCCTTAATTAACCGCATGTCTAGTCCCGAGAGAGATACCGAGACGATGTCAGTCGACACTAACTCGAATAACGAGGATGAAGAAGTGGGACGAGCTGCAAAACGATCTCGAACTGATGAGAGCGATGAAAAATCCACGAACCAGCCGTTGCTACCTGACCGCAGAGATGATGATCACTCGTTACTAACAGGATCAGTAGAACTGCGTCCCAGTCCTATTGGCAAGGCAGTCCCGGACAGCAATGCAGCAACAGAACCGCTCAGCCACAGCAACAACCACTCCACCGAGAAGCCTCGCCTACAACAGCTGAAGGGTTGTGGGTCAATTTACGAACTCGTTGGCAAGGCAACAGCTTGCACTATCTGCCAGAAAGAGTTCGCCTCAACAGCAAAGCTATATGTCCATCTGCGAGACATGCATAATGATCTGTGTAAGCCATACCAATTCTACGATGGCGTTGCCTCCAAGCTGAGGAATGGTACTGACAGCATACAGAATGGAATTGCCAATAAGGAAGTTAGTGCATAACAATGCCAGTGGGCAAAACGCTATTCAGTGGAATTGAGCGCGACTTTTAATACCCGATAGCTGCACATGCTTCATTTTAGTATATTTTGTCAGGAAAAAATAAGATTATCATTATGTGAATGCAGTGCACCTATTGCACCCACCAATGAACGATGTGCGTGTGCGTGTGTGTGTTTGTGTGCGTGCGTGCGTGCGTGCGTGCGTGCGTGTGTGTGTATATACGCGTGAATGTTTACTTGTTTGACGGCATTTCACTAATCGATCCTGATTATGTACCATGTTTTGGGGCGAGGGGGTTTTTCAGGGCGAAGTCTACACTATAATGTTAAGTAGCGTAATCGAGATCGAGGTGATTGCCAAACCTCACACATACGTGCAGTTAGCTCCCTTTTTAACTTCATCCCCTCTGTTTGTCTCAGAGCATTTGCCACATTTCGTTTACTGTGGTTTAAAAAAATCTACTTCGGTGAAAAAATGGCCTTTTACACGCAACGAATATTAATATCTCGTCGTACCTTTTTTAGGAAGGAGAGCACACATCATCACAGTTTTATCAGTTGTCCAGTTGGTAAAAGGTCTAGTCTATCATAATCACCGCATTTCGTTCATTGGCTACGCACGTCATTCTGTCATTCTGTTCCTTCATTATATAGGTTATATCGGTTATATAGTCTTATATTCGTAACAATAGCATTCAAGGTCCTGTATACTGTAGTTGTATGTATTGTGTTGGACCAGGTTGTTGTGTTCAACAATATGACCTTGTAATTCTCGTGACAGACGCGTCAGAATTTAATAGCGATAGTTTTGTTTATTATTCAGTATTGATATATAGGTCATATAGAAATCAGTTTGCATACCATTTTACGCATGGAAATTGTTTGCAATCATATGAATCTGGTTTGCCACTGTTATTATGTCAGATGAACATTAATATATCGTTCACATACGTGAAGGTGGATACTGTCAACTCTTGTTTGAAGCGACCGCCGTGTTGCATTGTATGTTCTCATATAATAATTAATAGATTACGTCTCACGATCATAATATTGCTGGACCGAGTTCACACGCCAGTCGTTTTTATGTGTATAGATATATTCATGAAGATATAATGCTTAGTTGTTTGTGAGGTTAATTACTTATATCGCGGATCCACTATGCCGATGTTGTATACACGATATTTATGTACTGGTGTTGCACATGACCATTGTATATTTCCTTGTCGTTTTTCTGGTTTAATATATAAATCATAATATTTATGCCATGTCAGCTTTGTTACCAATTCATTGTAAGTCACTTGGAAAATATATTGTTAATCAATATTTAAATCGCTTGTTGTTACTTTTTTATGTAGCTTGGTGCTTGATGATGATAGTGACTATGATGATAATGTTGATAATAATAATAATAATAATAATAATAATAATAATAATAATAATACCAACAATTATATTAATAATATGAATAGCAGATTTATTATATAACTGTATCGTAGAACTGTTCATCCGCCTCCAATTTGCTCTTCCTCTTCTCTCTCTCTCCTTCTCTCTTCTCTCCTATCTCTCTTCTCTCCTCTCCTTCTCGCCTCTTCTTCTCATCGCCCTCTACCTCTGCTTGCTCCCCTTTATCTTCCACTGTTCGCTACCTACTATCTTTCTCATCCTTCTCCTCTCCTTCCTCGTTCGTCTCTTTTTCTATTTCCCGTTTCTTCTACTCCCTCCTCTTCTCTCTCTCCCGCCTTCACTTCTTCCTCTCTCTCCTCTCTTCTCTCCTCTCCTCTTCCTCTCAATACTGCCTAAACACAGCGCTCTCCTTCCTTCCTCCTCTCCTTCCTCTCGTTCGTCACTACAGTTAGCGTTACGTTACCGATCTGCGATCTCCGTTCCCCGGTCCCTACCCGATCTCGATCTCTCCGTTGTACTCGTCTCGATCTTGTATCGTTTGCTGTTCTCGTTCTGTTCTTCTCGTCTCGTCTCGTCTTGTTCGTCTCGTCTCGTCTCGTCTCGTTGTCTCGTTCCTCTTCCATCTCTCTTCCCTCTCCTCCGATCTCTCGCCGTCTCCCTCTTCCTCTCCTTCCTACTCCTATCTATTTATTCCTCTCCTTTCTCCTTCATGCTCCATCTTATCCATCACTCATCTCCTCTCCTCTCCTCTCCTCTCTTCCTTTCCTCTCCACTCACTCAACTTCCTCCAGCTCTCGCTCTGATCTACTCCTCTCCTCTCCTCTCCTCTCCTCTTTCTCTCCTCTCTTCTTTCCATTCACTCTCCTCTCCTCTCGTCCTCTGCTCTCTGCTCCGTCTCCTGCTCCTTCTCTTTTCTCTCTCTCCGAATCTCTCTCTCTCTCGTTCTCTTCTCTTTCTCCCCTTCTCTTTCTCTTTCTCCTCTCCTCCCTCTCCTCTCCCTCTCCTCTCCTCTCCTCTCCTCTCTCCTCCTCTCCTTCTTCTCTCTTCTCTCCTCTCTTCTCTCCTTTTTTCTCCTCTCCTCTCCTCTCCTTTCTTCTTTCCTTCTCTCCTCTCTACTCCTCTTCTCTCTCCTATCCTTCCTGTCTTTCTACCTCTCTTCTCCTATCCTTCTATCCTCTCATTCCTCTCCTTTACCTCTTTACTCTCCTTTACCTCTTTTATCTCCTCTCCTCTCCTATCCTTCTCCTCTCCTACTCTCTCGCTGCTCTCTCCTCTTCTCTCCTCTCTCTCTTTCTCTCTCGCCTCTCCTTCGTCCTTTCCTCTCCTCTCTCTCCTCTCCTCTCCTCTCCTATCCTCTACTCTCTCATCCTCTCCTCTCTCTTTTCCTCTCTCTCTCTCTCTTCTCTTTGTTCTCTCTTTTCTCTCTTTCTCTCTCATCTCTTCATCTCTCTTCCTTTCTCTCTCCTCTCTCCTCTCTCTCTTCCGTCTCTCTCTCTTCTCTTCCTCTTCCTACTTCTCCTCTCTCTTCTCTCTCTCTTTCTTTTCATCTTCTTATCTCTTTCTCTTCTCTCTTCTCTCCTCTCTCCTCTCTCCTCTCTCCTCTCTCCTCTCCTCTCCTATTTCTCTGCCGTGCCAGTGTCTAAGCCTGAACTCTAACGGCGTGTATGCACGACCATAGCAACTCACATGTATAAATCTGTAGTCATTGTTCAACTATTCGCCACCAGCGAAAAGTTTCCAAGGTATACGATTGTGTGTTATCCAGGACACAAAATATACGCGGTGTGCAATGTTTGTAAAAGGCTGGTGTGATGGCGCTTAAAGCCCTCGTCTTTCAAGTTTCTTCCCAGCCGAGTTTTTTTCCATGCCGCAGTTTCGGTTAAAAACTTCCATAGGACATAAGATATGACAAAGAGTTATGTAGTTTGTTTTCCCTGGACAATTTCCGGAATTATCACGTTTACATGGAAATGATGCGTAGCGGCATTCTTTATAACTGAGGTCCTCTAAGATGGTAAACTTGTGTAACCAAAACCATTAGCTCTCTGTGACCGCGCACTGCGTCATTGCCTGTCGCTCTAACATTGACATCTCCTCAATATAAAATGTTTAGCTCACACGCGCGCAAGACTACAGCGACGTCGTGAAATAGCAAGCGCCTTTTAACAGTTTGAATGCAGTGAAATCAAATCGATCTTTTAGGTGATCGATAGGCAGCCAGCTTCCCGCGTGCGTTGTATTGTGATCATTCTAGCTAAATGCGCGCGACTATGCATTTCCATTTTCTATGGTCAATTAAGAAGACAATAACGCAGGCGTCGCGTGAGTAGGGGACCCGCGCAGTACGCACCGCTTCTCAATGGCTGACGTTTAAGTCAAGTTACTGCCGACTTTTCTCTCGGCGAAACCTCTTTTAGTGGCAGTTGCAACCTCAGCGAGCATTGTGCGAGCCACGCACCTGATGTGGGGACATAAACGCAACGTAAAAGCGCATATAAACCCACTAATGCCATTTTCTTGTCAGTCGTTTGATGACCGCAGAGTTATTGCTTCTTAACGGGCTTCAGTTTCCGAAGCCGGTCCATTTCGACGTTGTTCGCGGAGCAGCACAAGCTGAGATCTATAACAATCACGCCGGCGACTTCCTGAACGCTCTCCGCTCACATCCTGTTGCATTTCGATACGAACATGCGATCAAAGCCGGTGGTTGGGATGGCTTGAATGGGCTAAGTGGTTGCCTTTGTTGTTTTTATGCTGCCTTCATTGCTCTGCACGCTGCCATATCAGGTGCACGAATTCGCCTTTGTTGCACGCTCATTAAGATATCAATTATTGAATATCAAGGGAAAATAATAACTCTCGTGGATGCCCATTACCGTATTGTATGTTGAACCCCATTGTGACAACCAAGTGGTGAAGCCATTTACTCAGGTATGAGAAACACATCCACTGAAACGATAAGTAGTCATGCACTGGAAAAGTGACTGCAGTCATTAAGCTGCGCTAGCTTGATGAAGCAGCACGAGGGAAAATAACAAGGGATAATAAACGTATATAATTATTGTAAACCATCTATCCATCTGTCTTTCTACACACACGCACGTTCATTGATCCATCCACCCAGCTATTTATATACATAGCTAGCAACCACTCCCACAACCTACCTACCTACCTACCAATCCACCCAATCAACCACCCGTCCTCACAACCTACCACCTATTCTATCCTTAATACTTTCTAGCGTATTGTCGGGCTGCCTGTCCGTCAGCCCGCTTGTTCGGCCCCACGCCCCTCCGTCCGGCTGTCTGTCTGTCCTGCTAGCTATATTTCTTTCTATCCATCTATTTCTCCGCCCTTCCGTCCGTCCGAACGTCCGTCTGTCAATCCGTGCATTCATCCATCCAGCCAGCCATCCATCAATCAATCCAACCATCCACCTAACCATCCATCCATCCATTCCAATTAAAGGATTGATGTAACACAACGTACAACATATTATTACAGTTTACACAGATTTATTCATCCGAAACATTCTACACAATTTATGTATAATTTATGTTTACTCAGTACTGGAATTATAACTATAATTATAATAATAATAATAATAATAATAATAATAATAATAATCAAACACTCAACATTTTCGATTCATTAACACGATGAAAACAACTATGATTGGTCAAAGCCTTTTGTTGCCATAAACCTCCAGTGTAAATCCTGTTAGTGGCGGCTCGGGTTAAACACCGATATAGTACTCAGCAGCATAAATACGTTCGGCTTAAGCCAATTAATGGTTTGCATTTGGAGGGAGAGGGTCGGAAGGTGGCAACGAAAGGACTTGTAATATAACAAATGTGTGACATTCATACCCCGTGTCTGTTCAATATTTATAAAACTCACGTACTTGTAAGTGTATGTATATTGGGTAGCAAATGCACCTTTCTACACGCGGTCACCGATATAGTTAAACAAGATACATTTCTAAAACGGATTAACATTATTCATGACGCACATATAGATACACACTGAACCGATAGCGCACACAGCCAGCACGCTGCTGTGCGCAACAAGATGGCCGAGCAACACGCATCCAAGACAAACTTCTAAACTTCACCGCATCGGGATATACACCCTCCTGCAAACACACATGAACCTGGTTGTACACAACGCCTACCGGATATTTGCTCTCGGCTGACGATGAACGAAAATAGCTCGACGATACTCGCATTATAAACGGATTCTGTCAGTTATAAACTTTCCTAGCACCAGTTGCGATAAGAAAGGTGATCAACACAAAACTGGATATGAATAGGAACGAAAACACACGCCCGAAGAAATCGAAACACCGCTGAAACACAGATCGCGATCTGCACATAAATTAAAAGTAGAAAGTAACAAGCAAACTAAAAAGGAAATTCCCCGGTGCCTAGTTATCTAACTAATGACCATTAATTATTGTGATCCATACGTGGACAACTAAAACCAGTAATTGTACAACCAAGCAGGGACATAGGCCGGGTACACGCGCGCGAGCATTCAACATTCAAGACTAGAAAATATTTGTTCAAGCAACACACTACAGTCACCTACCCTATCAAAAAAAAACAAATATAAAAAATATCCGGCTTTAAAATGGTGCATAAATGAAGTCATGATTGTGTTGTAGTTTAGGCTCAGACAGAATAAACCAAAAGAGCTAACTATCCTGGCACCGGCACACGCTACTTAAAGCCACGCCTTTAGTATCTCCCTACATGTGCATTGCGGGCAACTGGCTTGTATGACAAAACAATGTTGATCCTGATTATAAACGCACAGACACGCAATTAAACTTCTTTGATATTTTCCAAATACATATATATTTTTGGAAACGCATCAGTAATTAACGCAAGAGTGATCCGTGCTACCCATGTATATTTACCACAATTAGCTACTAATTAGGTCTACGTAGTGCAATACGCGGTGATTACGATGTATCATTAACCTTAACGAAAACATTACACATAACTTTCAAACGCTATAAGTTACTGCATAAAAATTTACATGAAACGTGATTTATCATGAGAGTTATTAATTACTTTAATATAATATACTCATTGTCATTTAACTGTCAAAATGTATAGCCGACACACAACTGTACAAATTGAGAAACGATTAGGTACATCTACTGTACATGCATCTGACAGCATCTCGTCCTATCCTGGAGCAGCACTCCAAGTTGACTGCTTGGTGATAGCACCAAAGTGTCATGCGGAAACCAGCCGTTAGCAACTCGATAAAACGCTACGATACAGGAATCCCTCGCAAGGAGGAGTAGTCGTTCTCTATACCTACTACTGACTGCTACGATACGCATGTGCTTGGTGCACAAGACTCGGCTTCCATAAGGAATCACATTTTTTAATTCATAGCTGCCTCGCAAGAGCGCACCGAGGCGTGTCAACCTACTGTTGGACACGTCGCCGACGTCGTCACGCGTTTCATCGTGGCGACAGCCTCGCGGTTTGCTCACTGACACCGATCCGCAATTTACAACGCGATAGAGTCAACGATCATCACCTGCGATGTGAGGCGCAGCAGCGACAGTACCTGAGCAAACAATACTGAATTCGACATAATATATGTATTCTACGGAGAGGACGTGTACGTGCTAATACGGTGCGCGTCTAAAATAGATTGGTCAACGCTGAACCAGATACCACTGTACACAACAGTTTAAATAGGCTGCACTATATATATACCTCAGAACAGCTATTTTAAACTCAACATATTATCCATTCACCAATATTAAATGATGTCTGCAGAATATAGCCATTTACAACCTACTGTGTGTGCGCCACATCAGACGGCAACTGTGTAGAGATTTTCCGCGTTGTTGCCCTCAAAAACTCTTCACATACTATTTCTATGTCGTAAGTACCTTCTGTTCACCGTGACCATTCTGCAAACTGGTGCTAACAGCTCCCGCTGGCACTGGCACAGGCACGGGCATCGCGTCACAGAACGAGAACGCTTTGAAGTCACTGTGCAGCTCTTGGAAATGGACGTACAGCTTCGCGGGTGACGCAAAGTCCTTCTGGCAGATAGCGCACGTCGTCGCCTTGCCTAGCATCAACTCGTAGATGTTGCCATAGCTGCCCAGCTTCTCGGCAAGAGGGTTTTGCCGGGTCGAGTCGGGACTTCGGTTGAGTTGCTCGCGCAGCATGGTCGCCTGAAGGTCAGATCTGGAGGGCGCCTGCGGGGCGGGAGCTGGGGACTTCAGAGAGCCGTGCGGAGACAGCATGTCCTGCTTCCTGCTGCCCACCACCGGCGAGTTGTTGTTGTTTCGCTCGTCGACGTGTGCGCGCTTTGGCAGTGGCTCGGCTTCCTCATCGTCGTCGATCGACGAGTTGGTTTTGATTGACATGCTCTCTGCGTCTCGCTCGGGACTAGACGTGCGGTCGATGAAAGTCTTCTTCTCAATCTGGTCGATGAGCGAGAAGTTCGTGTCGAGATTACTGTGCGCCTCCTGGTCCTTCTCCGTCACCTTGCCGATAAAGTTGCGAATTTCCGTGAAATAGCTCTCGTCTTTCTCGTCGAGGTTCGAATCCGGTGAATACCCAGTGAAATTGGGTCCCTCCGTCTCGTGCTTCTTCAGATGCCGGTCAAGATTCGTCTGCTGGCCGAAGCAGCGGTCACACAGCGGACACTTGAACGGCTTCTCCTTGTTGTGGATGTTCCTGACGTGGCGCTGTAGGTTAGAGGAGATGCTGAATGATCGCTCGCAGTACTTGCACTTGTAGGGCTGCTCCCCCGTGTGAGTGCGCAGGTGACGAGTGAGGTTAGCTGACCGCGGGAAAATCTTGCCGCAATACTTGCAGCCGTAACGCTCCTTCTGCTTAGCGCCATTTATGGCATAGGGCGAAAACTGCATGGGCCTTTCAGGAAAACGCATCGCATCTGACATCATCGGTGGTCTGTTAATCTCAAACTGTTTGCGCAGCATCTCCAAGTTGATGTTGTTGATGTTCATCAGTGCCGGGTTGGGAAAAGGGAACCGCGGTGCAAACGGGAACCTGCCCGGGAACTGAAGTCCAGCCAGACTACCAGAGGACAGACTGGGAATGGACATGCTGGGTGCGACCGTCTGGCTGCTCTCCGGCCTCAGAAACCGTTCGACCGATGGGCGAGCTGCCGGAGGCTGCGGAGGAGGAGCGACTGGCTTCACGGGGCGCTTTCCTTCCATGCTCAATTGCTTGCTTCCGAAGATGTGCGTCTTGTGTTGCTCCTGAGTGAAGGACGGCTTCTTCACACTCAGATCAAGTGGGGATTCCTCACTCTTTTTCGTCAGGTCGAACGCCCGCTCTCTTGGTATATATGTCTTGCCATCTGCACGTCGAGGTGACGAGAGTGTGGATGAGAACATAGGGTGTGCGCTCCGCTGCTGCAAGAGAGCCTGCGTGAGGATCGGTGCTGGCTTCACCTCGCCCGCCTTTCTCTCCTTCTTATCGCCTTCGCTCTCGGCGTCAGATTCGATGCTGGTATCAGCACTGCTGCCTCCGGGTGAGCTGAGATCCGACAGTTCGCTCACCTCCGAGCCTTCGCTTCCTTTCGGGGCGGCCTGCATGCGTGGTGGCTTACTCTCGTGCAGATGACCTGGACTTATTGAGGAAGTTGTTGAATGTGGTATGAAGCGTGGTGCATGTAGTTGGGATGGGAAAGGTAGCATGTGAGGTGGCATGAACGGATAACCCATTGGGAACAGGGGAAAGTTTGGACGGATCCCATAAAGATTCGGGTAGGGATGTGATGTGGAGGGTGGCCCACCAATCGGAGACTTCTCAGACGATGGAACGCTGGGGAAGTATGGCGGAAGTCCATGGCGCAGCGCCCCCTCACAGAAGCGCTTGTGCTTGCTAAGCGACGTCACCGTGGAGAAGGACTGGCCGCAGTCTTTGCACTTGATGCGGGTGCGACAGTCAGCATGCATGCGCTTGTGACGACAGAGATTGGAGAACTGTGTGTATGCCTTCAGACACACCTAAAAGACATAACAAGAACAAATTTAGTAAGCATGTTGCAACCGTTACTGTTAATGATCGCTGCCAGCAAGTCAATGTAAGCACTTCAAATGCCAATGAATTGGAAGGCCTAATAATCAAGCTCCCTGCTAACATGCATCTTCAGTTAATACAGTCTTGAACTGCAGGTCCAATTTGTACCAAAATGAGGAAGGAGACCTCGCTAACATGCAGGGACGTTTTTCAGAGCAGGATGACCAACTGAATGCACGCAATCAGGTCTGACAAGACTAGAAGCCTGCAGAGTCACATACCTCACACTGGAAAGGTTTCACGCTGCTGTGTATGTGAGTGTGTTGCTTCAGTCCACTGGACGTGGCAAACGCCTTGCCACATTCCAGACATGTATGCGAGCGCGCTCCCACATGCTGCGTGCGGATGTGCCTCTGCAGATTACTAGCGTCAGTGAATACCTGCAAGAGCAGATAAATATTGCAACCATTAAAATGTGTTTGCGAATATTTCCTTGTGTTATATAGTCGACAAGTTTCCTCTCTAATTTCAGTAATGTCTAACCAGAGCAAGTAGATGCGAGTGTGCATATGTGTGTGTCGAAGACCTGCCATCGCAGAGAGCTATACTGATACTCTTAACATCAACTGAACCAAACATTGGCACATTAGATAATTATTAACATTTACCCTGTAAGCGTTCAATTACGCCGCCCTGCTCCAGCTAATCCACTCACACATCCCACACACGTACGCACGCACGCACGCGCGCACGCACGCATGCGCGCGCACACACTGTGCTGCATAAATTTCTAATATAGCAATGTAGGTGCAGTCACAGAGTTACGTCAATGAGGCATTCGCACGTGTCGAAATGCTTTCTAGTTGCACTTAATTCTATAACAATCATGGTTTTCAGATTGGTGCGCAGAACTGGCACTGTACTGTAATTCACGAGCAACTGGAACTCAACGGTACGTAATGCTGTCCGTGTTAAACTTGTTAAAACTGTGTCGCACGTGAACACGGAGCGATGAGCGGCTTTGTCGGTGTAAATTTGTGCGACGAAATGAAACGAACGGGCCCTACGTGAGAAGCAACTATTGACAGGTTGAGCGGGCGTGCTGCGCAGTGGCTGTGATATGAACAGCAATCTGAAAACCACAGTTGGCAGCTGCTGATGAGGTTACCGGTGAATCGCAATCGCGTGTACAGCAACATGCCTTGTCACAGTTCTCGCAGGCCAGCTGGCTGTCCTCGGCAGCATGCTGCATCTGGTGACGGATGAGGTTGGACTTCCAGTTGAAGACTCGCGGACACTGGTCACACTTGTACTCGGTGTCCTTGCAATGGCCCTGCATATGCTCTTCGTACCTGTGCCAGAATTTAACCACCAGAGTTAGTATAGAAGCAGATAGCAGTAACCCTGCTTTGTGGCATTAAGATCAACCTAAAACTGCACAAGCAATACATGTTAATGAGACAGCATAAGCTATTTAGGACAAATCAAGAATGTTCTGATATACCAAAGCCCAAAAACTGAAATGGAAGATGGGATTATAATTTTAGTAATTACTTTTAAACACCGCCCCCACGTCAGTGCCCGAGCTTAATTACAAATCATACACACAGCAACACGAGAATATAACAGCGACGTGTACATACTTTGCAAGGTCAGGGAATTCCACTTCGCAATCCATGCACTGGAGCTGCTGCTGTGCATACCCATCAGCACAGCCTGTCTTACTCGACATGAACTCCTCATTGATCTTCATGTAGATGGCGTTCTTGTTGCCGCAGGCATACGTCTCGTGTCTTCGCAGCGCCACCTTTGACCGGAACACCTCGCCACACTTGCATTCGTATGATTTCTCATCTGATGAGCAGATCGACATGAATGCATATTAAACATTTGTGGTGACGCTTCCTTCCTCTATCTCAAAGGCCAAGCTGTTACCATTCGTGCGGGATGATCGTTATTTTACTGGCCGTATTCAGAAATATGTTGATTTGAGTAAATCATCCCCCTACCTTCATCTACGGGTAGGTTCTCCAGCTCACTCTCTGGGTAGACAGCATCTCTCTCGTAGAGCAACATCTCTTCGCCAGCTTCTATGTCCTTTATTGCTTTGTAATAGACCTGCAGGAGAGGCACATGACGCGTTCATGTATTATGATAGTTCACATTATACTTCACTGATATAACTATAACAACCCACGTTATTGCAGGATGTTGATGTTCTTTAGATTACAATATAAATACGTCGACAAATAAGCAAATCTATACAAAGGGAGAGCAGTTTCTATAAATTATAGCTAAGTTTGGTTAATTGTTAAATTGCTCATCAGTATCTAATTATTAAACTAGTTCCCCAAAACACAGGATGGGGTACGTCATTACACTCAAAGCGAGAGAGATGCACTAAACCAAGCAATAGACTTGACAGCTTATTATATCAATACATACCGCAAAGAGAACAAGCTAACAAGTTATGCGGGTGTATTATGCGGTTATTACGTAAAGGGGGTAGGGTCACGTAACGTTAACCAGTGGCGTGACTGACCTGCAGAGGACCACTTGTAGTGTTTTGCACGCAATAAAGTGATAGATGTCTTGAACCTTGGTAATAACAGTGTATAGGAGTGTTATTGTGTTATGATGCTACAGTATCACGTGACAATTTAACAGACTACGCAGTGTAGTCAAGGAACCTGAATGCTTTTGAAGATCACACGCACCACTATATGCAACAATAGCCTCAGACCTTTGTTTAACTATTCTTCCTGTTTATAACCATGTGTTGCTTACTGGATAGCTGCGAAGTCGTCCTCTTTTACGACCCTAACCCCACATATTCCATTGTATAAAAGCCAGTTTCGACAATAGACAATATTTCGAATTTCTCTCTGCATTTCCTCTGAACTTTGACAACACAAGGTTGATTATGTGATTCCGACTGAAGCTATGTGCACGAGAACGACACACGCACATGCAGTAAAGAACTACTCTTTCATGGCCAGACAGGTTGTACATACCAAATTAGCACAGTTTCAAATTCAACATTCCTAAATGAGGAATAAATCTGATTGACCAAATTATAGCCTGAAATTTTAATGCGAACCTTGCATGTTCTGAGCCTAATAGTGCCTCATAAACTCCAGCAGGTTTTGTGGCTCTAGGGCATGCGATGGAACCACGATATTGCTGGGATTATACTATTATAGTCTAACACATCGCTATTCTAGTGCAACTCATACTTCTAGTCATTTTCCAGCCCTATGCTCATGGTCAGACAGAAATTGGTAAACTGTACAGATCAAGAACTGATTACTGAATTTGACAAAATGAAATCGATTAACGTTTCTGCACATAGTATATAAAATAATTACTATTGGGTTCACATGAATTTACCGTAAGGTTCATTAAACGGTTTTATTGCATCGAAACTATAACAATGGCTGAATGCTCTCAAATATAAAGAAAACACAGTAAAGTTATTACTTTAACATCCCACAGTAAACATGTCAATTGCAGAAAAAAACACGAATATGCCTTGGTAGAAAAAGTCGTATAACCACATACATTAATTGATGTCAGAAAAAAATATTCACGCGAATTTAAATGTGCGCTGCGCTTTTCACCCACTGCCTATATATTTCGCTATCGTACTGCAGACTCGAGACAAATAGAACGCGGCATGGCGACAGAAAATAAATTCCAACAGACAGCCGAAAGCTGTACGAACGCTTGTTCAACTCGTCTTGGTCGGCTGCAGAACATTACTATGCAAATTCTATTGAGAGAAATTGGATAGGCGAAAAAGAATTCATTTCACGGCGCTGATGTTGCTTCCTCTCGCTGTGATACGAGAGACAATGACAGGTGAGGTGAAAAGACGAGAAAACAAACGAGCGGATGTTTCGCTGAATGAAGTGATCACGCAAATAATTTATTAGTGCTGCGAATAATTGAATTATAGTCGTAAACCGGTCGGTAGTTATAGCGCCTTGAGCAAACTATATACGTACGCATACACTAAATTAGTTATATACGCGTAAAGCGTACTCGGCTACACGACGTATATATATATATATATATTTGTTTATTTATTTATTTATGTACAGTGCGATAGATAGAGATATAAAGAATAGAGCTGTCCGATGTGTTTCTACTGATTCAAACGCATTGATGCACTCTTCCGACAGTGCCCTGAGCAAATATCAGATAGCCATCTAAAAATGTCATCATAAATTTCGTGCGCTGGCTGTTGGCATGGCGACGAATTCGCCACACAAGCTTTCTTCTTTTTCCTACTTGATCAGGTATTTCAGACCTCACGGCGACTTTAGTTACAAACAACACGCAGCGTTACCTCTAGTTGGCAATATTCCAGTAAGTCAGTGACACTATGCTACTGCTACTATTTCATGTTCACCACGGCTATGGTCGCTACAATATATAGTCCCAGACAAGATCAATTGTACAGAGAGAAGGAGAAGGTGAGAGGGAGAGAATGCGCGAGTAGGAATAGCGAGAGAAGGGAGAGAGCGCGATTGAATGAGTACACAAGTAGTGAGAGCGAGAGAGGAGAGAAGAGTGCGAGCGCGAGCACGAGAGAGCGAGAGGGGGCGAGCGCGAGTAAGCGTAAGCGAGAGAAAGAGAGAGTGCGAAAGAGAGATAGATAGATAGATAGATATAGAGTGAGAGCGAGAGGGGGCGAGCGCGAGTAAGCATGGGCGAGAGAAAGAGAGCGCGCGAAAGAGAGATAGATAGATAGAGAGAGAGAGCGCGCGCGAAAGAGAGATAGATAGATAGAGAGAGAGAGAGAGAGAGAGAGATAGAGAGAGCGCGCGAAAGAGAGATAGATAGATAGAGAGAGAGAGAGAGCGCGCGCGAAAGAGAGATAGATAGATAGAGAGAGAGAGAAAGAGAGAGAGATATATATATATATATATAGAGAGCGAGAGATAGAGAAAGAGAGAGAGAGAGAGAGAGAGAGAGAGAGAGAGAGAGAGAGAGAGAAAGAGAGACACACACACGCGCGCGCACGCACGCACACACGCACGCACGCACGCACACAAACACACACACACACAGTCAGCCACAGCACCTACACAACGGGGCACGCATCGCGACGCACGCACGCACGCACGCACGTCAACGCACGACGCAACTGCCACGCGAATACGGCAACGCACGCACCACGCCGACACGGCACGCCCGCACGCACGGCACAAGCACGCACGCACGCACGCACGCACGCGACGCACGCACGCACGCACGCAACGCACCACGCACGCACACAGCACACGACACAGCACACACACACACACGACACACACACACACCACACACGCGCGCGCACACACACACAGGTAGAGAGAAAGAGAAAAAGACTGAGAGAGAGAGAGAGAGAGACGGCAGACAGGCAGAGGAAATCGGATGCGGGTACGACCGTCAGCAACGCTGCGCTGCCTAGGTCCTATCATCTGCCTATCTGAGCCCTCGGGCGAAGGAAGTTTCATAAAGAAAGGAAGGCGAGGCCAATTAGTTGAGCTGGTATATGTAAGTGGAGCGAGAGCCTCGGGTTAGAAATGGCCAGCTCACTGTCCACGGCAGATATATAACCCTAAAACCGCATATATATATATATATATATATAGTATAAATGCTTACGTGCATGCGTTCGCGCGTGTGTGAATATATAATATATATATGGAGAGAGAGGGAGAGAGAGAGAGAGAGAGAGAGAGAGAGAGAGAGAGCGAGAGAGAGAGAAGAGAGACGAGAGAGAGAGAGAGAGAGAGAGAGAGAGAGAGAGAGAGGAGAGAGAGAGAGAGCTAGAGAGAGACAGAGAGAGGGATACGAGGCAAAACAGAGAGACTGAAGAAAACAAAAGCGCGAAAAAGTCGCGTCTATAGCACTGTGCGTCGATATGAATCTAACAGTGTTTCATATAGATATATAGATAGACATTTATTCATTGCAACGCCTGCGCAATGCGCGCTGCCTGGAAGGGTTGATGAACATATGGTGACACTGTCTCTCCTCCCCCTCCTCACCGCTGCCCCAACCCTCCATTCCTCCCTCACCCTACCCATGACCTAACCACCACCACTACCACCACCACCACCACCCCTCACCGCCACCAACCACCACCAACATCCTCCTCCTCCTCCTCCCCCTCCTCCTCCTCCCTCCTCCTCCTCCTCCTCCTCCTCCTACTTCTCGTCCACCACCACCTTCTTCTCCTCCACCTCCTCCTCTTCCTCCTCCTCTTCCTCCTCCTCCTCCTCCTTCTCCTCCTCCTCCTCCTACTACTCCTCGTCCACCACCACCTCCTTCTCCGCCTCCTACTCCTCGTCCACCACCACCTCCTCCACCTCCTCCTCCTCTTCCACCTCCACCACCTCCACCACCTCCTCCACCTCCTCCTACTCCTCTTCCTCCTCCTCCCCCCCTCCTTCCCATCCACCAGCGATCGCTCATCATCGCGATACATAGTAAATCACCTGTGAAAATCGCCAATTTATACCGATATTAAACAGCAGCTGTTGAGAATCAACCGTATACGCGCGATCGCAATAAAGATCGCTCGACCTCGGGTGGTCCCATTTAATTGAAAAGTTTCGCACCGCGCGGCGTGTATGGGCGCGTATGCCGCGCGCTGCCGTATCGCTGTCCGCCATGTTACCACTCGCAAAGAGAACGAGAGAGAAAGAGAGAGCGAGAGGGAGAGAGGGGAAAAAAGAGAGAGAGAGAGAGAGGGAGAGGAGGGGGAGAGAGGGGAGAGGGGAGAGGGAGAGAGAGGGGAGAGAAAAGAGGGAGAGGGAGAGAGAGAGTAGAGAGAGAGAGAGAGAGAGAGAGAGAGAGAGAGAGAGAGAGAGAGAGAGAGAGCGAGAGAGGGGAGCCGCGGCCGCGCGCGCAGTGGGAGGCTGGCGTTGTTGCAATCTTGTCAGCGTTTATTCCTGCATTGAGAGCGCCGGGGGGATAATGCTCCAGGTGCGCTGGCCGACGCGATATAGTGAAAAGGGAAAACTCTCACACGCACCTCACCCCGTATCGCAAAATTGAATAATCTGAATATTCGAGCTGGAACGACACGGACCACACGTGGTTTCAGGGGAAGGCTATGGCCC